GGGACTTATTTAAGAAAAAGAAGAAGATCAAAACTATGAACAATAGAATGGCAGTAAAAAGATATCAACAATTGAATCTAAAAAACAAACTAAGCAAACAAGAGGTACGAGACAGAATCATGGATACAGAGAGCATTTTGATGGTTGCTAGATGGGAGGAGGGTGTAGGGGAATGGGTGAAGAGGTGAGGGGATTAAGAAGTACAAATAGGCAGTTACACAATAGCCATGGGGATGTAAAATACAGTATAGGAAATGTAGTAGCCAAAGAACTTATGCACATGACCCATGGACACAAACAATGGTGTGGGGATTGCCTGAGGGAATGGGGGGTGCTGGGTGGAGGGGAGCAAAGGGGGAAAATTGGGACAAATTGTAATAGCATAATCAATCAAATATCATTTAAAATAAATAAATAAATAAATGCATCCCTTCTTGAGCTTAAAAAATGTTTCAAAATAATATAGAAATGAAAAGATCCTGATACAGATCTCCATTCATTCAACTGAATAATTACAGGTCTCGCTTGTGTTTCAAAATACCTTCTCACATACTGTTCCTGTCACTTGTAATACTCTATCCACATTTCTTCATCTAAGATTTCTAACTATCTCTAATAATATAGATCTTATGTTACCTTCTGCAGAAAACCCTTTCTATGTTGATATCCATCTTACTTATGTCTCCTAGTCAGTCTAGGAATTCCCTGAAAAAAAGGCTATGTCCTTTATAGCTCAGCCCAGCAGAAGGCAGATGCTATCTACTCAATAATGTTTGATGAATGAAGAAATGAATGAACAAATAAAGAATGCTACTGAAATAAGTCAGGATAGCAATGATAAAGTTTTAACAAAGGGGATGGCACAAATCTCTCACAGGGCTATAAAAGTTCACTTCTCACTGCTTTTCCTGTTTTCTTGCTAGACTCAGTTTGGCAATTATCATGTAGTCAGTAGGGAAAGAGAGCAAGTAAGCTATTCCAAGCAAGAAAAAATTCAATGAACTTTCCTTTGTGCGGCGTTGGTGGTATAGTGGTGAGCATAGCTGCCTTCCAATTAACTCTCCTCCCTGATAAAGGTACCAAATTCTCTACAAACAAAATACACAGATATAGATGCTCTTAAGGAGAAAAGTTACAAAGTATAAATCTTTACACACACACAACAGGAAACACTAGAGACTGGGAATGTATTGATTTCTCCTTGTAAAAATTTGTTTCTCCTTGTATTATGGTTCACATTTTTTCCCCACAATATGAATAACTAATTCTGTAGTTAGGAAACAAAAATCAAGAAACAAAGATAAAATGTAAAAATCAAGGAAAGAGAAATAAAAAGCTGAAAAAGAAAATTGCGTAGGAAAGGGAAGGAATTTCAGGAGCGAGTTGACTGTGTAGCTTTGAGGAAACCGCTCAGTCTTTATTTACTACAGCTTTCTCATCCCTAAAACAAGGGGGATGAGCCCCAAGAGCCTGTTTTCAGAATGACAGAAAACTTAGATATATGACTATCATAAATTAATTGCTCTACAGATGTAATCATTCCATGAATATCTCTACACTTTTAGTGATGATATCTGGAAATTTGGCTTATTGAAAGTAATATATATATAGGGAATGGTAACTAAAATGAAGTCAGACAATCTGACTAAAGACATTAATTTTAAGTAAAAGCCATGATATTCTCCAGTATTCCCTACCTGAGAAAAGGTTAGATAGATTATTCAACCTGAAGTATGGTCCAGAATGCTTTATGAAACACATTATGAAACACAAATCTAATTTTTTTAAGCAAAGTCTCTGATTACTTGGTAACTGCTTTTTAAAATAATACTATCATAATAACAAGATATAGCTAATTTTTATTAAATGCTTTCTATATGCCAGGCACCATTCTCCTTGCTTTTATAAAGATTATCTCATTATAATTCCTATTTTGCCAATAACAAAAGAGAGGTATAAGTAATTTACCTAACTCATAACTGTTAAGTGGAAAGCAGTTCCCAGAAGTATAATATGTCTACTCTTTCAACAACCATTTATTGAATGCCTACTACACTCAAGCCAGGCAATGTGCTAGCAATGACTTTTTTTAGGAAATCACAGTCCAGTAAAGAAAACAGACATGGGCCCAGAACAGTAGATGATAACCCACAACAAGATACATCACTGTGAATCTCAGAATCCTAAAGGCAAAAAAGAAGAGAAAAGAAATTAAAAGAAGATTCTACTAGCTTTATTCCACAAAGGTGGGAGAGAGGGAATATTATACAAAGGATCAAAAGTCGGAATGCCTTTGGACTTAACCAATAGCAACATTGGAAATTAGAAGTCAGTAGAATAATGCCTCCAAAATGAAGGCAAATAATTTCAAGCCTAAAATTCTATACCCAACCAAACTAACAACCAAATGTTGAGGGTAGAATAAAGACATTTAATGTCTGAAAAAGATTACATCCCATGTTCCATTTCTCAGAAGAAGCACTCTAACAAAATACAAGGAAAAGTTAGGATGAAGGAAGCAGGAGAAGTATCACTAGAGTTATGTACAAGACAGAAGAGGGCAACCCACCCACACTGAAGAAGTATGACTCAAGGAATATAGCAAGGGAGGACTGTCATGTCGTCATCATGACTGCTTTTGTTATAGAATTGGCCCTTCAACCTGGCAATGTTAAGGAAGTTTTCCCCAGGTTCATTTTTGGACACAGTTTTCTTGGGCCACGTGCTAATAAAGTTCTTGCTTTCCCTCAGTGCAGGATGGGCTAAAGATCCTCACTGTGACCCTAAGAAAAATTCCACTTTGACCTATTTCTGAGGGCTGAGGGTTAGTTAGCCACAGTGAATTTAGAAGCAGAAAACATACAACAGCCCATTGCCCCTGACCATGTTCCTTTCAGACACCCTGTGAGAAGCTGGCCCATATTACAGACCTGCCAGGTGCCCTGAATGTAAGCCCTATGTTTCCTAGGATTCAATTGCCCACTGATTCCCCCACAAGGGGCTCTTATAAACTATCAGGAAAGTTAAAGCTAGATAATGATTCAAAGACCTCAGCTTTTCTTTTCTAGAAATATGTTATCTAAGAAGGATAATAATGCCTTTTTTACTTAGCCAGGTTTATACTGCTATTCTACTTTTATATTAAGCACTTTTAACATTACTTTGTCCATTAACATATAAATAAAGTAATTTAATTGTTGCTTATTAAAAAATAAATAAGATAATAAAAAGTACTATAAAGGAAACATTTGCTGAAGAACAGAGTATGAATGGCATCAACAATGGTGAAAGTTTTTGTGCCAATGTGGGCCCTAGAAGCTCAATTGCAAGTGGAAAGAATTTCCTTTGCTGAATGTCGTTAGATAAGCCAGCTTCAGAAATTTAAGCATGCCTGGTTCATAGGAAAATAACTTCCAGTTATATTAAACAAGTACTCAGTGACTTTATTTACATGCCAAATTCAAGCATTCTCAGTTATTCTCAAATCAACCTTGGATGAATATAAAAACATTGAATTTTATCTCACTGTGCTTGTGTAACATAAAATACATTTCAGAGTATTTTCCTTGATTTGTGGAAGAATTTCCTAGCTCAACAGCTGCAGGAAGGTTTTCACTGCAGTTCTAGGGGTATTGTTTTGTTTTTTAGCTACATTCGATCTTTGCTTATGATGAATTAGAGGCTTCAGTACAAGTTTGGCCTGGGCCTTTAAGGAGACAAAGTAAAGGTTAAATCCTTAATGAACAATATTAACCTAGTGCAGGTAGGCACAGTTCTCCTGTTTGAATCAACAGTCATTCATAGAAGGAACAACTATTGCAAATTACTAAAACTACTAGAACTATATTCTACAAACAGATTTTATTTAGGCAAAGGATAATTTCATGTCTTCTAGTATGCATTATCTAACTCAAATAACCCAGTCAATAGAGTCTGCAGTTGTTAAAGGATGCTATCACTCAACTTCTCATAATATAAATCATCTTGGAAAGAGAACCAACTAAAATGGTTTAACCACACTGTATTCAAGACTCTGTCCATGACCTAGCCCCTGTGTAGCTGTCCACATTCACCTACTACTCTATTGCTGCAGGCTCCATGGCTCTTAGTTCCTTCAGTGCCACTTTCTCAACTCCAGGCCATTCTCTCTCCGCTTCACTTGCCCATTTTATCCTTCAGGTCTCAACTTAGGCATCAGCTCTCCAGAGAGGAATTCCCTATGTATACCTTCCCATAACATCTTCTATTACCTTTTGTATGACACTCATCCCACTAAGCTGTAAGCTCCAGAGGGCAGGGACCACGTCTACCTACTCACAGCTGTATCCACATCACCTAGTATAGCACCTACAAATACTTGTTAAACTGGACTAGAGTTTTCATCATTTGATTTTAAGCTATATATTTGTAATTTTCAGTAATTGGCCCAGGAAATAATTCAAGTTTTCTGAAGTAAACATTTGACTTTTAACCTTTCTTCCCTCCTCCATGTTCTCATACTTTCTTTTACTTCCTTCAAAGGTAAATGTACTGGATTTCTTTTAGGCTGGAAAAAAATGTCAGAATCATTGTATAATTGTTTCAACAATATTGTGACTGTATTCTCTTTTATAATGTTACTCTCAAATTATATTATGGGTATATATTATAATTATCCTATAATTACAATATTGATAGAACCATCCATTGAACAACTATTATGAATCTCCTTCATTTAGATCAAATACTAATTGCATAATACATAAAGTTATTGGTATATATTTGCTAACCAGGTCATCATAGCTCTGTACTTTCCCAGTCTTTTAAAAATAAGCAGTAGATACTTTCATGATGAAAGAGCATACCAGAAATGATTTTTTTCTTTAAAATGTCCATTCTACAGAAACAAGAATAACTCTATGTGCATTGTCTCTTGGAGAGGCAGACATAAAGGCATTCTTAATAATAAAAAAATTAAAGTAATTTTTTTCAGCTTCTTACATTACCAGCAGTCTCCTCACCTTGGAGGTTTCGTTATCCCAAATGGCTAGACCAAAGTAGTCTTCTTCCAAAAGGTTGAGGTGCTCACACACTCGTTTAAGCAAATCTTGTCCTTTTGCATGTTTCTGCAAAGATATGCATATGTTAGTTAAGGTTTCCTTGTATCCCTATATTCATCACCAAATAAAATAAAATGTCATTTTCTAATTTCCTCTTTTATCCTTGGTTACCAACACTTTCAAATGTGAGTTACAAAAATCTTGTTTCATAATTTGTCAAATTAAATATGCAACACACTTATAGTTACCAAGTATAGTAGCTATTTTCAAAGTTCAATAGTTTATTTTTCTTGATTTATTTTTTGAAACTTAGAGAGGGAACACCTATTAATAAATATAGTATACTATTTTAGACTATTTATTTATGCTTTGATATATTTGCATTTGCATATAAATAATTCAGAAATAGTTTGTTACAAACCTAAGATACAAGTATATATGAATTGTCTTATTACTAAAAGCTATTATTAGTAATAATGACTGCTTTATATCAAGCATATAATTGACAATTACTGCTCTAGTTAAAAAAATAGCTAATAGGTTTTAAAGGATTTTAATTTGTATTGAGGGAGCAAAAGAATAATTAAATAACTGACATTTTTATTCAATCTTGATTCAGTTTCTTATTCTTTCAGAAAATAATATAAAATTTTAAGAAATGGCATTACTTGATTTAAATTTTTATATCCTATCTCATGGGAATAAAGAAATATATTAAGTAAACTAAAGCTTATTAAGGTTTAGAGAAGAGAGCAGAAACGAACAGATAGTAGTGTTTTTAGACAAATACGGTTATGGGGATAGCTGCATCTAATATCAGAAATTGAAGCTATCTAGGAAATTTGTCATGGAAAGTTACTATAGAAGTAACAAACTTTTTTTTTTTTTTTTTTAATAAAACTGCTTTGGAGTATAAAAGTAACACATGCCTAATTCACAAGATTTGACAAATGCAGAAAAAAATTGAAGAAAATAGGCTCACTCATAAGCTTCCCACACCTCTACCTCCAGAAAAATCACTATTAACATTTCAGCCCATAGAAATAGTCATTATACTGGGTCTTATCTCAGGCCATGGCACCACTTACCCAACCTTACATGAAATAATTTGTAAGTCTTCTAACTACTGAAACTTAAAATGCACTTACTTCCACAACACATTCATAAACTGTATCATCCAACAAAGAAACCTTGCAATGCATGTTTCTGTGTCTTCTGATTGATTTCTGGGAAACTTTTATTTCTCTTTCTGCTTTTGATTCAGGACTTTCTTCTTTCACTTCGGTTTTAGAGCACTCTTCAACTCCTCCTTCTTCCTTAGTTTCAAAATCTGGATCTTCTCTGCGTTCTTCCTGAGCAGGCTGCATATACATGACATCACCAAGTCAATAATACAGACATTTCACAAAACCTTCTGTATACACATCTACCTATAATAATGCTACCAATAAAAGCACTAGCTGAAGAAGAAACATTGCTGAAACAAATATAAGTGATATTAACATTATTTTTCTATAAAAGATATTACAGTCTCCCAAATGATCTACAGACTATATTCTTAAAACTTCATAATAAAAGATAGAATCCCATCTTTCAAATCAATAAATGTAGGTTTCAAGTAAACTATAGAGGACACAAATCTGTTGCTCTCAGCATTATATATTATTCTTCCTGATTATGCCATTATATATTTTTAAAGCCTATCAAAACTTTAATATCTCTGTGTCATGCTCCTCAATTTTAGCAAGGTGGCCTAATGAACTGTAAAATGAGATGTGATTTGTCACATAGTCTAAATTTTATGAATGGTTAAGAGGGGTTTAGGGACCAATTTTAGAGCATAAAGCAACATATATAGTAGGCTAACAACTATAACTACCAATTAACTGATACCAGGTATCAATCATGATAAATGCAAAGATCCAAAGAAGCAAGAGAGATTGAAATGTGGGTCTCCCAGGGCCTAAATTGTTAAAGGGCTATTTTTTTAATCTTCATCCATTTAGAATGAATCGTCATATATTTTAAATTTACATCCCAGAGTTATACAGGTAAATGGAACAACACTTTGGCAGACTTTTACTTCCAGCACAACAAAATTGCTGAAAGATTCTTAACTAAACCTCACCGATTCTTTTCTTTCAAAATACAGGACTGACATTTAGGAAAAAGGATTTAACTATTTGGCTCCTGCATTACATATTGGAAGAGGTCTAAAAGGCTCCTTTCCAACCTTCATGACCCTCCTAGAATGCGACTTCTTCATAGAGGTCTTCATTGGTTACCCTATTGATCCTATTCTTTACATCAGTACCCTGTGTGTTGCCTTCTTAACATTTAATAGGATATATTATTATTTTGTATATACTACTTTTTTTGTCTCCTCCATAAGACTATAAAGTCATCAAGAGTAGGGATCATGTTTGATTTATAAAAATAAAGCAAACATTTACATAACAATTACAATAGGCCAGTTACTGTAAAAGCATTACTCATATGAACACATTTTATCCTAATAACCTCTGGAAAGGGCATTATTATTATCCCCATTTGACAGATAAGAAGCTGGGGCCAGAAAAGTTCACGTAACTTGCCTAGGATCATAGAGTTAATAAGACACATGTCAGTCTGGCTCCAAAATTCACGATCTCAAACCTCTTCATTATACTGTAGTTTTTACTTACCAATGTCTATTCAACTTAGGGCCTGATACGCATCGTAGGTTTTCAATAAACATTTGTTTCATGAATAAATAAATATTAAAAACTTACACATGGCTTCCAAAAATATCCAAAGCACTCTAGGTGGAAACTATAAGGCAAACTCACTTCTTTAAAAAAAATCCTGGATAGAAAAGGCCCACTCAAATAAATTCTCCTACAACTTTTATTCACAAGGTTCTGATTCACAAGGTTTTGACTGTAAACACTAGCTTCCAAAACACCCCAAAATAGTTTTCTTTTTTAAGCAATATCCCCTTGAAATTTTACTATTTATTTTGTTTCTTTTTCTTTATATGTAGATAAATACCTGCACACAATTTATCCCCATTCAGAATTAATGAAGTTTCAATGAATGAGATTTTAGTTAAATCTAGAATTTTGTCCTTCATCTGTTTCAGCTTCAGTACAAATGCTATGATCTTTAAACAAAACAAACCAACTCTGATTCAAATGCTAACTAAAATGAGAAATGGATTTTTTCCCTACATAAAGCAGAGGACAAAAAAGAAGTAGTTAAAAACCTCTTGAAAGTACCAGACATCCTGAAAGATGGTATAATTTAGTTCTTTTGGTATTCTTAAAACGAAATTAATGATATCAAGATATGTAGAGTTTCTTTGCCTTTACTGTTAATGTTTATTAAATGAATAACAATAACTAACATTTATTGAGTGCTTACTATATGCCAGCTAATGCCTTAAGAGCTTTACATGTTTTATCTCTTTAATCCTCATAATTGCCAAATGATGCAAATATTATTATCCTCACTCTATAGAGGAGGAAATTGATAAAGCAGAAGTGTCACTTCTCTGTGATTTGAACCCTCTAGTCTGATTCCATAGCCTGCATCCTTATCTGTTATACTATATAGTAAATCTTGTTTTCAATCTTGTTTCATAACGTAATTAGAACTTTACCCTAAATTTTATTCTTAGCACCTTTAATGTACAATATATCTAGAAATACACATAATACTTTTAGAAAATTCTCATTAAATTGTATAATCCAAACCCAAAACCTGTAATAGATATAGAGGAGTTATACTTTTACTATGTGAATAATTCTCACATGCTTCAGGAATAAAAAAGGCTGAAAATTCCCCACGTTTTTTGGACAGATGAACAAATTCACACTCGTGTTTAAGTTTAACTACACTGTAACACAATTAAGACCTCAAATTACTATATATTACAATGGTGATATAAAGAGCTAGACTTCCTCATCTGTTTCTTACATTCTGTGATAATATGATCTAGTTGGAGAAAACAAAAATAAGGCAGGCATGGCTGAAATCTATCACATACCTCTGGATGGCCTGAATCTATCCCATGGCTTTTATGAGATTTCCATAAAAGAATCATGTCTGCTGATAACTATCCTATGCCTAATAATTCCAACAAAATGAACTTTAAACCCCCTGAATTCTTTTTTCCTTCTTATTAAAAATATGGACTTGTTCCACTATTACAGTAAAATGATATACAGGCTGAATAAAATAATTTGATAAATTCTTTTTTCTTCATTTTCTTTTCTTTGATTCATACTACATAAATATCTTCTTAAAACCAAGTTTCCATTGACTGCATTCGTTTCTTTATTTTTTAAATTTTATTTTTCAATTACAGTTTATACTCAGTATTATTTTGCATTAGTTTCAGGTGTACAGCATAGTGGTTAGACAATTACATACTTTACAAAATTGTCCCCCCGATATTTCAAGTACCCACCTGGCACCATACATACTTAGTACATTATCGTATATAAATATACAATATATTCCCCATGCTGTTCTTTATATCCCCATGACTACGTTAATTTCTTTAGAGCAGAAACTCCAAAACTTCATACTACTATCAATGCCAAGTCAACTGGCTAATAAGAAATAAAATGTTCTTAAATGAAAAATAGTGTATTTCACCTACCTTCATTATACCCACCTCCCATATATTTGCATATCCTTACCTGTGTTTCTGCACTGCTTAATGAGTGAAGATCCAAGGATGGGTCTGTTTTGAGTTCAGGTTCAGGAGCTGCAATTGGGGCCTTCAGAATAATCTCTTCATCAAGATTGGTTGCAAATTCTATTTCTTTCTGACCTCCTTCACCTTTCTCTTTAGCTGACTCTACCTCTTTGCCTTCTTCCTCAGACACCTGAGATTTAGGCCTTTTGAGAAATGAGGAGAACAGCCGTGACAGGCCCCTGTTTTCTGACGTCCGCTCCTTGTTCTTGGTCAAGTCTTCACGTGTAGGAGTGTCTCCATTAGATGTTTTCAGCTTCTGCTCACACTGATTATCTCCCTCAGCGGCTGCTTGGGAAGCCTCTTCCAGCTGAGTTTCTTGTTGGCCTGAGTTTGTAGCTCCCTCACCCTCTTCCTTCTGCTGTTGGTGTTGTGAATTTTCAGCCTCAGTCACTAAACTCTTCTCTGTTGTCATGATGTTGCTATTAAAAAGAAGTTGGAAAATGGGGCCTATAAGCAAAACAGTTTGCTGTAGGCAAAACCCTAACTCAGGTCAAGTGTGCCAAAATTAATATATTTAAGTATTTAATCACCAACAGACAATACTCTAGTCCATTAAACATCAGGCTTTCCATTAAAGCACAGAAATATTTACCTGCACATCCTGAATAAATTATTAATGCCTTGACTTGCTAAAGATATGCACATAGAAAAACTGGCTTAAAATAGAACCCCCTGAAGTCACCTTAGTGAAATGTATCATATTTTAAATTCAATGCTCAGAACTATACATAGCAAATACAGTTTTATCCTGCATAAAAAAAGGACATTTGTATAATGTCCTCTGAGGGTGCAAGGTTTGCAGGAATTATTCCTCTATACCCCAAAAGATGATGAGATTAAAGGTTATCTAACTCTTTATTGTTTTTTCCCTATATTTCTTAGAATGCATAGACTTCTATACTAAAAACAGCAAATTCAGAATTCTGATCATTTATGAAACTTGACAACAGCAATGACATGTATACAGTTAAAAGAATCACAAAAAATTCCTTAGGTTTTCATCTTGCAATACTAAATTACAGGCTTTTGCAAAAGTATCCCACTTTAAGTTCTTTTTCTTTCTTAAAAAAAGATTTTATTTATTTATTTTTTGAGATAGGGGAAAGGAGGGAGAAAGAGGGAGAGAAACATCAATGTGTGGTTGCCTCTTGAGCACCTCCTACTGGGGACCTGGCACACAACCCAGGCCTGTGCCCTGACTGGGACTCAAACCGGAGACCCTTTGGTTCACAGGCCAGCACTCATTCCAGTGAGGCACACCAGCCGGAGCTAAGTCCTCCCTCCCTCTCTCCCTTTCTTCCTTCCTTTATTGGAGAAGGAAGGGAGAAAGAGAGGGAGAGAAAATCGATGCAGGAGAGAAACATTGATGCGAGAAAGAAACATCAATCGGTTGCCTCTCACACATGCCCTGATCAGGGAACCAACAGCAACTCAGGAATGTGCCCTGACCAGGAATCCAACCAGCGATGTGTCACTTTGCGAGATCACACAACCAACTGAGCCACCCACACCAGTCAGGGCCCACTTTAAGTTCTTTAAGACTTTTTTCTTTCTGACAAGTATGATTTTGAATGCTCAGCATTTTTAAGAGTAATCACTTAAACTATTGCAATGTAGAGAAATAATAGAGAAAAATAAAGAAACCAAATAGAGAAGAAAATTTAGTAAGCAAACAATTCAACTGTAGGAGAGAAGGTAGGCTGTAGAACTCACGTATTTCAAACCTGTTGGTTTCTAGCCTCTTGATCTCAAAATCCCAGTACTATTGGTCAAGCCTCACAATAATAGCCAAGAGCATTGTCACACCTTGTCTACTAAAGACCAACCAACACACAAGGGAACTTTTGAGACACTAGGTAATGAAGCTGACTATTGATGATCTTACTGTTTGATTCACCATTAAATCTGAAAGTACTCCATCCAAAAACCAGGATTTACATTGTCTTTACATCTGCTCCGTACTATTTACATGAAGTAATTTTATTTGGATGTTAACAATCCAAATTAATTAATTATATTTAGCTCATTCCCTACTCAGGCCCTTCCACTTGCTTTTTTCTCTACTTAAGATGTTTTTCTCCTGGCTATTTGAAAGCTGTTCTGTTTCTCAACATTATTGTCTCTGCTCAGCTGTCACCACCTTAGAAAGGTCTCCCACACACATCCTGTCTAAAGTAGTGGCCCTTACTTTTCCAGATGGCCTCACAACCACTACAGCACTTATTATCATCTACAATTATCCTGTTAACTTAATTGTTTACTGGTTTATTATCCTTTCCCTTTCTCTCCCCTCAGCTAAAATTTAAGTTCCATGATGACAGGGTAATATTTGGTACATTAAAGGTCTTCATCAAAGTTTGTTGAATGAATTAATTTCAATGGAATATACCTGACAAACATAAACTGCAAAGGCATTCTCTGAGTTAATTAAGTAAACTTACTTCCAATGCGTGACACTCATTCATTCAATAAATCCTTATCAAGCACCTAGCACAGATCCTGTGTTAGGTGCTCAGGATACAACAGTGAACAAAACAAACAAGGTCTATGCCGTTATGGAGTTTATATTCTTGATTCAACTTCAATCAGTATGAAAAAATTCAAAAGAACTCTTATTTGCAATATGAGCAAAATCTAAATAATTGTGTATAAATGTAACAAAGCAGTAAAAAAAGGAAGAATTAATTTTATTGAGTACTATTTCTGTGTCACGTCCCATATCAGGGGCATTATCTACATTATGTCAAATGAGCCTTTCAACAACCCTGAAGAGGAAAGAGGAACCACCTAATCTTACAGTTGAAGAAATCTGAAACTCAAAAAGTGACTTCCCCAAGGTCACACTGCTACCTTAAAAGTGACAAACCAACTACCTTACGTGGTATTGAATTAAATTAAGGTATGTTAAAAGGAAAAGCCTTTATGTTGGCTCTTACTGCCGATCTCCTCAAATTATTTTAAGTGTTAAAATATTTTAAGTAATAAAAATTTTTAAAGAAGCACATTTTTTAGTTTCATTTACTAAAGTCATCAAACTTACTCTGCACTAATAAAATAAGCAATCCAGGCTTTATAAATACTACTTAAAACATTTACCACCCAACATATGTTATTAATTTGTTGCCCCTATGTGAAGTATATTTGTACTTCAATTAAAAAAGTAAAATTATCTTCAATTCCTTCTTACCTTATGAGTAGGCAATTGTTTTTTCAGAATTTTTTTTCTTTAATCTCTAGGTAATCAAATGTGACCCAAAAAGAAAATCTAGATATCAAATTATCAGTTACTCTAAAAGAGTAATGATTTGATTTGAGAACATCAATTTTTTCATACTTCCTTTGCAAAAATAAACAGAAGACAGGCTGAGGATTTAGCGCTATTTCCATGGATTTCAGCTATGACTTTATCATTTCACCTTACTGCAAAGGCACAGACACCACTTTTACCTATATTAATACTTTCCTATACAACAGAGTTTACAACGAGGTCTCTCATAAAGACCTATAAAAAATTACAAATTATTTGTGAAAATTTTAGCAGATAAGAAAATCACTTAAATTTCATTTTCTAAGTGTTTTACTTGTACCTTTCAGGAAATAAACAGTAACAGTATTTATTTTTCTGTTTTACAGTTTTTTCTTATAAATTTAAAAACAGAAAAGATCTTTTAAGGATACCCCTATAATTGCTTTCACATAAAAGGCTGTCTTATCTCTAAGAAAGTAGCTGAATGAATATAAGTACCCAATTTTTAAACAAAAACATCCAGATAATAACAATTCATATGCTAAATGTGCGTTTCATCTAGCAATGTTGTTAAAATACAGATTCTGATTCAGCAGGTCTGGAATAGGGCCTGAGACTCTAGGATTCCAACAAACTCCCAGACGTTGCCAATGCTGCTGGCCCACCAACCATATTTTGAGTAGCAGGGCAGAGAAAATCACTGTTGCTTTGTGAACATACTCAAATTGCCTAAGAAACAAAGATTATAAAAACTACTTTTAGAAAGTGGAATATGAACAATGAGAAATACTTGACATAATAAATGCTCAACAAATGCTTGCTGAATTAATGAACAAAGCAAAGAATGCAACATGTTATTGAATGTGGAAGCTAAACCATTAACTTTTTTTAGAACTTGTTTGGCACTTAATCAAAAATTAATTGAAATTTTTAACCACAGAGCTGTGGTAATTCCAAGTTGTCCATGAATGTAGTCATGACACTTGCCAGTTAGTATTCTTGCAGTCTTCATTGATATGACCTCATTGCCACATTTAGGAAGAAATGATCGAGACATGAATAAAGAATTAGAGAATAAAATCTATCAGTGCTAAACCAATACATTGTGCCACATAATTGGACATTTGTTAAAAAAAAAAAAGCTAAACACGAGAATAAATGAAAACACAGTATAAGGAATAGACATACAAGCAGAAGGGCAAAAGAATTCTTTTGCAACATACTGAATCCAACTTCAGGTAATATCATAAACACAAGAAAACAGACAATGCAGTATTCAGCAGGGAAGACACAATTCAGTCTATGCAAGGAAAGGTAGATAAAAAATAAATTATTAAGGATGGTTTTTCTTCATGTTCTTTCCAGCTTTGCACATGGGTAGTGATGTAAGAGGCACAAAAACAAAGGTAGGGGTGGAGTAAGAAAATATAAAATGAAAACAATAAGCCAGGCAAGTATCGCCAGTTAGCTCTGAGGTTGATCAGAATTAAACGAATAAACAATAGAAAAAAGAAAAATTCTATGAGCCATTTACTAAAAGCTCAAACTCATCCTAACAAATCTGTTATACATGTGGCCAAATTTTTCACATTAAAAATGATAGAATAGGTAACCAGAAGAAAAGATAAAAGAAGTCAAGAAGTAAAAAACAGAATAAGTGCTTACAAATAGGCCTTTACTCAATAAATAATACTATTTTTCATTGTGGATACAAAATCCAAAAGAGGTATTTATTTATGTAAAGTCAGAAAGATATCTTGTGATTTTTTTAAAAAATCAGCACAGCACTGAAGACAAAGTAATGAGTTCCCATTCCATTTCAATCCTAATCTTCCAAACCCTTGGAATTATACTCCATCTAGTATCAAAGATATACTTGTTTTAACAGTGTGTATCTGTTGACTTCAGGCAAATCAGATCTTTAAAAACCTGATACTGAGCAGACTGCAAATGCTGGATGCTATCTTTCATCTTTTTAATATCTCTTTCTAACATTAATACAGTCAGTACTCCATTAATGCTTCTTGGGTGAAAAACTTTATAAAAAGCTACAGTTAGGCACCATTAAAAAAAAAAAAATTTCCCTGAGACTTCCGGCCAAGACGGAGGTGTAGGTAGATACACTTCACCTCCTCACACAGCCAAAAGGAGGACAACAACAAAATTAAAAAC